GTTGTAGCAAAATATAGAAATTAGGTATCTCTTTATGTTAAATATTCTGTTATTTCCATCATGTTTATAAATAACCCACTTTTATATATCATCATGGCATTATAAAATATCCTATTGTTCTAGACCAGTATCTACTGAATTAATCAATTGTATGGTTGTTTGAATAAAATATGGTTGTGCCACATGGACTCTCTTTAGTGTACCACAAACTTGAAGTTAACTACATACCATGATTATCATGGCCTGTGACATGTTTACTTAGAAGTAAAAAATATCCATATAGACAATTATATAAGCTGGTCACTTAATTTACTCATCTAATCCCAATAGCCAATTACTTAACAGGACGGGTTGATTCCGCCCATGCATAAACTTAATATAGGAAAAAAATATTTTTTTTGTTTACTGAGAGCTACCAGCTTTCATGTATTTAAATTTTACAGTGATGCAAACATTTTCAATCCATCATTGATAAATATCAGTTTTGTAAAGGGGGTTAAATTTGCATGTGGGGGCGGATTCGGCCCAGGCCGTCCAGGAGCTTGAGAATTTTTCGTGTCAGTGTTAGCTCGTGGCTCATACTTGAGTCGCTATCTTCCACTATTTTTTAGCTTCCTCTTATAAAATAACACTTCTTTCTTTGGATAAGTATAATTATCAATCAAGTCAACAGAGAGAACTATCCCTGCCAACCCAAAATATATTTGTTTTAAATGTTTGTCGACCATTTTGGAAGAGTAATAGAAATATTACAGCAGGCAATTGGTTCACTTCAGTAGAAATAGTTGTTAAGTTGAAAGAACATGGCCTTACATATTTAGGAAGGATGAGAAAGAAGAAATCTTAGATTTCATCACAATTTCAACCACACCCTAATAGAGAATCAGGAACATCTATTTTTGGTTTATCTGGAACTTTAGTCTCCTTGGTTCTCTCAAAAAAAAAAGAAAAGAAAATTGGTAATCGGATTGATAAAAAGGATAAAAAAGAAAGGAGTAATTTTATTGGTGATCTTGGGAGAGCATTGACTGATGAACACCTGGCCACACGTAATCTCAATTCTCTCCCACTGGAATTACAGACGACAATTCAAGAATAATGATGGTTCACGTACATCAAGGGAATCTACAATGCCACAACAAAATGATACTCCAAAAAGGTGTTACAAATGTCCGTCAAAAACTCTAAAAAATTAAAACCCTTTGCCTTGTATGTCAACTAGGCGTTTGCAAAAATATTTCTTAATATATTGTGAAAACTGTAAATAGATTATATTCAGAATTTTTAAACGTCAAAATCTCTATGTTAACATTTGTATTCATTAAATATTTTTTAAATATTGATTTCAATCATTATTTAGCGTTTATTTCATAAAGTTACATAAGTGGGTTGAATCTACCCGTCCAGTTACGTAAGAAAAATTCACCTGTCCAGTTAAGGGTTAATACAATAAAGCTCTTTGTTATTTAAAAGACATTTCAGAGGAAGAAAGACATTCATGTCTTTCAAAAATAGACCATATGGGATACATCCTGAATAGGATTTCAGTGCAAAAACAGGCATCTATAAAGGAATTTTTTAAAAGATCATGATTTTTTTAAATTAATATTTTTAAATTTTCTTTTTATTTTTCATATTTATTTTTCAACTGCTATATTATTCAATTAGAATAAAATAATATTTGTAATTATTTATGTTTCAAAAATATGTATTAATGCCTTTGTCCCTTATACCAAAAGTTAATTATGAAAATAAAAAATAAATACAAAAAAGTACACACAATGGTTTCAATTAATATCTTTTATCTATGTTACAAGGCTATTTTTAAAAAACGTTATTTTGTCGAGTTAGATTAGCTAATCATCTAACTTTAATTCAACACTTCCTTTAATTCAACTGAAAGCTCTGATCCCTTGGGGTGTTGAATTAAAGAGGTTCGACTGTATTCATATTATTCTACCTAACTCACGAACAGCGCCCTCTATCAAAGATTATATTAAATTATGCTGATGCAAACAAATAGATAATGCTAATAACAAACAATTATTATTAAAATATATTATCTAAATATATATCACTCGGGTAGATATGCACACGGGTCAATCCCGGGGCAAAGCCCGGTTCACCCGTCTAGTAGATTATAAACACAAGGTAATAAGACCAAATAAATAAATTGTGTGTTTATTGGAATTGGAATTTGGATATTTATTTATTTGGATTTGGTCTTATTACCTTGTGTTTGTTTTTTACTTATGACAATATTTGATAATAAGTTTTCAAATACGGTAGAACTTGGATAATTCAAAACATCTTTAATTCCAATATTTATCTTGGTTCCTAGAATTCCCTATAAATAGAATTTCCATTTTTAATTTGAATTTTTTTTTTTTTGGTCCCTTGGGTTTTGAATTATCCAAGTTGGACTGTATATACCAAATGTCAGACCAAGGCTATACAACCCCATCTGACCCATAGAATTCTCCAACAGCAAAATAAAACATGGGCTTTACTTTGGAATCCAGTTGGTTTTTTTTTTTTTGCTTATCCTCAGTACACATGGTACAGGACATGATAATCATGGTGGGTAGAAGTTGGCGACTGCTTTTACTGTAAGTGCACCACATGTCTACACATGTGAAAAGCAGTTCGACTTTTGCACTTACAAATGTGCCAGAGCCTTGTTTGGTTACTTGCACTCCCTGGAGGGGTTGAACTTTTGTAAGAATCGGGGGCCATTGGAGCATTTTCTTTATAATTTAGTTGGTAATATTTTGTACCTTTTTATAAAAGTTTATTGTCCTATTTCAGCGACCCACTGGTGCCATTTAAAAAAAAAGTGAAAAGCTTATTGTTAAATGATAAGGCACAATTTGGATTATCGCTACAAGGTAATAAGACCTAATCCAAATAATTTAATAGCGTGTGACGTTTCAATAGCAGCATTGTTACCATCATAAGAGAAAAGAATTTTTTTTTTTAAATGTTGAAAAATAAATTTTTTTATACTTTTGTTTGATGTGATGGTAACAACGCTGTTACTGAAACATCACACACTATTTAATTATTTGGATTAGGTCTTATTTTCTTGTATCTGGAATTAACCTTAGTTGAAACAATATTGGTTGGGAAAATATTCCCTGGGCAGAATATCTGGTTCAATTATATTCTGGTATTTAAGAAATGTTTTGCATGTAAAATAAATATATATTTAGACATACACTCTAACAACTTAGCATGGCCAAAAGAGGATGACATTTGCTTTGTCTGCGGTCTTTTTATTGGGAAAGGAGTTGAAAATACTCATTGCTTTCTGCTGTCAAGATAAGTGGTACCAATTTAGTATGCCAATTGGGGACCAAGACAAACCTCGGCCACTTCAGTCTTTGCACTAACACACTGGAAGCCTGGTACAGAGATGGAAAGAGAGCTATGAGGTTTGTTATTCCAAGAATTTGGTGAGAGTCACTGACCACTTGAATAACTGCTACTTTTTATTTGCAGACCCTTCTAAACGGCGAAGAAGCAAGAATACACCTGCTATCATTTATCCAGATATTCCTTCATCCATTGTTCCTCTCAGTCCTGAGTACCCAATACCTAATTCGGTTCCAAAATCACTTTATTAGGTACCGCTCAACAAGAACAACCTAGTTTATGATAATTGAAACAATGAATAATATATGATGGTTATTCATATATTAAACAAAATGTTAAGGTGGGATTCAATCCTGGTTAATGGCTGTCAGGAATCGAGGGTGTTACCCACTTGTCCACAGAAACTCCCATCTACAACATTACAGAGCGGTAAATCTGAGGATGAAGATACCTTTGAACACACTTGCTCATTCCTAATGACAATGTAACTATGCAAAATTTCCGACACCTACATCAATGAGAAGTATGTTAATTTAAAAAAAATTGTTAATACATTGTCATCATTATTATGTCTTTTCTGGGGTCCTTTTTTTTTTTAACTTATCCTTTTAGTCTAAATTAGACAAGGTCTTGGAGGTCGTGCTCATAAAGAAGCACAAGAACTCTTCTTGGTTCTCTGGACAGGGATCTCTTGTCCTTTCCAATACAATTTAGTATATGTTGGGGAGTGGCCTCTTCGGTTTTGCACCTAGTGCACATGGAGGAGCTTTTGGTTCCCTCTTTAAAGACTAGAGGGCGCAGGTGACCAGATTTCCATCTGGCCAACTGTGTCGATTCCCTTCTGTTTAGTTAGAGGGTCTGTTTTTTGGGGTTTTCTACCTGGTACCAAGAATTGTGCCCTTCTTGAATTTTTCAAATGAATAGATGTCCTAGACTCAAAGTTTAAGTGTAAAATGGTGTTTTTCAATTGTGCATGTCCTCATACAACAGAAAAACACACACACAAAAGAATAATCCAAAAAGACAAAAATTATAAAACATAATAAATAAAAATAAGAAAGGTTAGTGGTGCTTGGAGTTCCATGGGGTCCAGCTACCATAAAATATTTAGCTCCTTTGCCCTGAAAATAAGTAAATAAAATAAAACTGCAGGAGTCATGTATGATAAAAGGTGGTCCCAGTTGCTGGTACTTACTGAACTCCACCTTGTAGAACATCATTGAAGTGATGAGACAGTTTTGTCTCTTCTAATATCCCAAACAGTCAATTTCAATCAATAGAAGTCTTTTCATGTTGTAAATATAAAACTGCTCCCATGCATGAACCTCTAAGGTTGGTAAATATGATAGAAAAACAAGAGATTTCTAATAAAAATAACCCCATAGACATGCTCAAGACCATTTCAAATACAATATACCCTATAATATTGAGTGTGCATTATAGCTGATCCAACTTAAAAACAGTAACATATATATTTCACTAGCCGAATGGCCTGGGCAACGCCCGGGTTTTACCCGATTAAATGCTTTTATTCAAATACTATTCGTTACAGTTATAAATGGGCGCTGTGGATGTCATTCTTGTATAATATACAAATGAGTTTTAAAAATTGTAAAAAAAAAAAAAGCATCGGCCGGGAATCGAACCCGGGCCGCCCGTGTGGCAGGCGAGCATTCTACCACTGAACCACCAATAGTTATGAGAAATGGCCATATTTGGGTATTTATTCCATTCACAAAAGCAAACGGTGACAGAATTGATTAAGAAAGAATTGATTATGACGCTGATAACTGTATATATTAATACTACAGAACATTACTCTCTAAGACACCTCTGTCATTTTATTCCATTAACAAGGGAGCTGACCCCTAAAGATGAAGAAAGCTAGATGTGCACAACTGGTGACTGGAACAGACAGGGAACATTCCAAGAATATAAAAACTAACATCATAAATACAACTGAAATAGCTACAAGTGCAGATAGAAAATGACAAGAATAAATGATATTTTTAATATGAAAAATACCAAAGAAGTGATTAGAAAATAATTTTTCAATTGATTTTCTTTGTAATAATCTTAAAAGTCTTCAAAACTTTATTAATTTTTCCTTTCTGTCTTAACATAATTCCATTTATAATTAGCCAATATAATAAATTTTCTATTATAAAGTTTGTATCTATATATTAAATACACTTTGTACCAGAAAGGGGCACCTCTCCCTTTAAAAGTACATAAAAACAACTATATATATTACATCACACAACACAAATATAAAGGGAGCCTGGTACAAGAATCTTCCCACAATGTTGTAAATTATATAAAGTTGTCCAAAAGATAGGTCATTAAATACAAGGTGTAACCTATGGAACAATTTGGTGTCTTATCACCACAATGGGGCTGGCTCATCAGTCCACTATTGTATTGGGTTACTACAATTCATTGAGAGACATAATTACCTTTGATACAATAGTCTGGTACAATCTGGACTTACCACATTTCCTATAAGTTCATATTGCTCTAATAAAAGTCCTTTTTACTGGTTAGATCCTTATACAGCTCATAAATAATTTACATTTGCTTTATATGACATACTTTGAGAAAATATATTTATTGAAATACATTATTAAAATATAAAAAAGGCAACATTCATCAAAAAAATATTTAGTGAATTCAACTTAAAAAACTCACTTTCTGGTTTAAATTATATAAGCTAAAACTCGGGGGGAAATTAGAACTATAAATAGTTTCAAAATTGATTGATAGATGGCGGTACTAATCCACGTTTCTATTCCTGTCTAGATAACTTTCTGTTTTTGCTATTGTGAAATTGGATGAAACAAGTAAGTTTATTTTATTTTTCTTTGGCTTTATTTTATAAAATTCTTCGAAATTTTTCTTTAAACCTTGATTAGATGTTTTCTAAACATGCTAAAACCTAAAGAAAATCTATTTATTTATTATGTTAATATTATAAAATTTAAATTTTTTGTGTTAAGTTTGTAAAATAATTATTCACTAGTTATAAAGATTGCTTGATATAACATTGACTCTTTTTTTTTTTTTGCTACCATAAATTCCAGCCATATTATTTCTAGTTAAATACACGAAGATTTCTAAAAAATTTGAACATTAAATTGGATATATTATTAAGCTTTAATGAAATATTAAATTTCAATATAAAATTGTGCAACAAATTGAGGAACACTACCGACTTTTAAACAAAGTAACATAAACAATAATTTATAAATAGTTACAAAATGTGATGATAGATGGCGATAGGTGTTAGCGTGCTGCGGAAACTACGTTGTAATTATTTTACTTCTGTTTGCCATTAAGTACATTTAGGTAAGATATTAGTGTTTATATTTATATATTTTTTCCCCGTTTTATAATTTTTAGCTTTTTTAAAATTGAATTTTTGTTTCAATAATTTTAACTATAAAATTTACGTGTACATTTTGAATCAAATTTTAATTTTTATAAACAAACCCTATGGCGAGTAACTAAAACGATTTTATCATAGAACTGTACATTAAAAGTGACCTGTCTATAGCACTCCCTCTCTATAGCACCCTATTTTGGTGAGTCCCAAGAGGGGGTGCTATAGACAGGTTTAACTGTACATTAAAAGTGACCTGTCTATAGCACCCCCTCTCTATAGCCCCCTATTTTGGTGAGTCCCAAGAGGGGGCGCTATAGACAGGTTTAACTGTACATTAAAAGTGACCTGTCTATAGCACCCCCTCTCTATAGCACCCTATTTTTGTGAGTCCCAAGAGGGGGCGCTATAGACAGGTTTAACTGTACATTAAAAGTGACCTCTCTATAGCACCCTATTTTGGTGAGTCCCAATAGGGGGCGCTATAGACAGGCTTAACTGTACATTAAAAGTGACCTGTCTATAGCACCCCCTCTCTATAGCACCCTATTTTTGTGAGTCCCAAGAGGGGGCGCTATAGACAGGTTTAACTGTACATTAAAAGTGACCTCTCTATAGCACCCTATTTTGGTGAGTCCCAATAGGGGGCGCTATAGACAGGTTTAACTGTACATTAAAAGTGACCTGTCTATAGCACCCTATTTTGGTGAGTCCCAAGAGGGGGCGCTATAGACAGGTTTAACTGTATTTCGAATATATTAAAACGCTTGAGGAGCATGAACTCATGGAATTTGTATAATCTTTACACAAGGGGATAAGAAACAACAACATACATTAAAACTACTTCTCTATAGAAGACAACACTTATTTACTGAGCCAAAGTGTCCTTTAGAGAGGTGTCCTCTTACCGGAGATTTGCTGCAATGTCTTCTTTTTTCTTATCTTCACTCAATCATATTAGGTTATCAAGCTTGTAGAACTTGTTGATGGTGTCTGCTAGAGATGAGTAGAGCTCATCAATGGATGAGTCAATACAGTCAATGATGTGTTTTGGAGTTTTTGCAGTTTGACACTTAGTACATAGTGGGAAAACCTTGCAACAATTCTGGAAGATTTCTGGAGATTTGCTAAATAGTAAAAATGATATTTTTGTTGATGAAACTTGTACTTTGTAGAGAGGTGAGTGTCCTCTCATGAAGAAGGTTCTACACATAAATATTACTTTAAAAATCAATGTTAGTGTAATCAGACATCTCCTGATTATGCAACTAAAAGACATCTCCTGATTATGCAACTAAAAGTTGCTGATGCCATCTGTTGGAATATACAAGGTATAAGTTCCCGGACTGGGTCCATAAAAAAATAAATAAATGAAAAATGTAAATGAATTTGACTGTTTATTATAGAAAAAATATCTGGCTACACGGTGGTAACAATATCGAGGCGGTACGAGCACGCGCCCCAAAGTTATTCTAATTTATTTAAAGGTTACACATAGCGCTGCGGCGATTTTACGATGGAATGAAAATTGAAGCAGAGTATTTGCATAGAATTTTGTGTGAAACTTCAAATATCAGCAACCGAAACTTTTTAAATGCTTAATAAAGCATTCCCCAAAGAGAACAATTGTTTTTGAATGGCATTCTAGATTTAAAGCTGGCAGAATTTCCATTGAAGATGATCTTCATCAAGGACGCCCAAAAATTTCAAAGGACTGATGAAAATGTGCAAAAAATCACCGATTTGATAAAAGAAAATCCTCGAACCACTTTGCTGGAGCTAGAGCAAGACACAGGCATCTCTAAAACAACGATTGGAAGGATCGTAACCATATCAAAAAGACTCCTGCAAAATTCATCCCAAGATTCCTCACTAATGAGCAAAAACTGTGTCGGCTTGCAACCTGTGAGGACATGTTGGAAATGACAAGAACGGATCCAGAATGGAAAGACAAGATAATCACAGGCTACGAGACATGGGTCTATGGCTATGATCCTGAAACCAAGCATCAATCTGCCGAGTGGAGATGTCAGGGTGAGCTTAGAACCAAAAAATCTAGATTATTCAAATCCAGAAACAAGGTGTTGCTGGTCGCTTTTTTGGATAAAAAGGGCATTTTTCATCACAAGTATCTTCCTGCAGGCCAAACAGTTATCAAGGATATGTATTTGGGCATTCTTCGCCGTCTAAGGGAAGCGATTCGAAAAAAAAGGCCAGAAAAATGGACTAATGGTGGCTGGATCCTACACCATGACAATGCTCGCCCTCACACAGCGCACTTGATGACTAGCTTTTTGGCGAAAAACGGGACACAAATCCTACTTCAACCACCCTATTTCCCAGACATCGCACCAAATGACTTTTTCCTGTTCCCCAAACTTAAAGAAGTTCTAAAAGGTAGACATTTTGACACCAGGGATGACATAATAGAAAGATCGCCGTTAGCATTGAAGAGCATTCCAAAAGAGGCTTATAAAAACTGTTTCGGCAATTGGGAGAAACGATGGCGCTGGTGCGTTGAAGCAATAGGGGATTACTTTGAAAAGTTTTAATAAAAAAAAATTTTAAAAATCTTACCTTTTTTTTTTATGGACCCAGTCTGGGAACTTATGGGACATACCTTGTATATCAACTATTTGTTGATTTTTAATTATTTCAGAATTGGCCAAAACCCTTTCTTGATTCATCAAGAAAAGCTAACCACTTGCATGTTTCTAGCAGTTGGTCCTCATTAGAATGGTGCAAGCTGTACCTCAATGACCAACAGCTAAGTGCCTGAAACACATAGGTAGTTTTTCTTGATTGATCAAGAAATGGAATTTGGCCAATTCTGGAATAATTAAAAAAAAAAAAATTGAGTATAATTATTGCACAATTAGGAGATGCCTTATTCATAATTTACCAACCTGATCCCAGTACAATTTCACTTTTGTACTGTTTTACTCAACACAACCTGTATTCCAACCCTATATTGTGTACTGTTTTACTCAACACAACCTGTATTCCAACCCTAGATTGTGTACTGTTTTACTCAACACAACCTGTATTCCAACCCTAGATTGTGTACTGTTTTACTCAACACAACCTGTATTCCAACCCTAGATTGTGTACTGTTTTACTCAACACAACCTGTATTCCAACCCTAGATTGTGTACTGTTTTACTCAACACAACCTGTATTCCAACCCTAGATTGTGTACTGTTTTACTCAACACAACCTGTATTCCAACCCTAGATTGTGTACTGTTTTACTCAACACAACCTGTATTCCAACCCTAGATTGTGTACTGTTTTACTCAACACAACCTGTATTCCAACC